TTACAGGAACTAAACCAATGGCGCACGTCCAATACTCCTCATCTGATGATCGATTTACGCCCCGAAGTCGAAGTGGAACTGTGTCGCCTGAAACCTTGTCTGTGTAAGCCACCCGTTTGTGTGATGTGTGATGTTTTAACACCGGTAGGGCTTCCTTAGTGGAGGCTATTTGAGATACTTGGTCGTATGGGAGTATTTCGAGAGGTGCCGTGGAAGGGTGACCAGCCCCAACCCTAGACACCCACCCCCCGGGCCATACTGAGGCTTTTGGAGGTGCGGTCGCCCACTGGAGCAAGTAGTTGACCTCCTTTGACCTCCTTTGATTACGCTGGTTGGGACGTGTTACTCATGTTACCAGATGGGTTGCCACGGCGAGCGATTTTTCCCGAGGCAGGTAGCAGTTGGAAAAAGATCAAGGACGGTCAAATTAAGACCTGGCATGAAGATATGAAAACCTTGACCGGGAGACTAGGTCACATAGGTCCCGTTAGGCTCCCTGACTAGGGACTTCGGGATAATGGTCACCGATGGTTAGAGACACTGTGCGATATGGCTAAGTATCGCAAACAATGGCGCTCATGTATCTACTCATGATTCTTGAAACATCAGTTTATATAAACGCGCTATCTTGCGCTTCAATCTGCTGTCAACACTAATCTTCATTCTGCTGTTTTATCCAAAATGGGCAACCTAAACCGGCGCACGAAAGTGCATGGTTAATGGTTGTAAAAACTGAACTGATCTGAACAACTGTTTGTTAATATATTGCCTTACACACACACACACACACTGATCTTGCTTCACCAACAGATTGTCTTCTTTAGTTGTAGAATTGCCATCTGTTTTTTTTATCGGCCCATTTGTGACTTAATCGATCAAAGATTGAATTGCTTTCTATCAGACTTGATTTCATCGATGAGATCACGTTTGATGTGATGGAAAGAATGAAAAGAACTTAAATCAGGGTTCATTCTCAATCCTCTATTAGTTCGCTGCTATGAACCCGTGAACAAGTAGCTTTTCTGTGCGTGTGATCTACTTGTTTTCTTGTGAGGCACCGTTCAGGATATGGTTCTGTTGACTGTTCGCTAAGATTTTAATCTTTCGTTGGACATATATATTTTTCTCTTGTTAACCAAGCTGGAGCAATGGTTGTACATGCAAAAATGGTCAATTCATTTGCTAATTGAACGAGACTAACCAACCCAACTTTAGGCATGATTCCCGCAAAACAGAGGATTTAGGGTCCCACAATTGTGCTAAATCGACCAAACTGACCGAATTTTCCTCTGTCTTGCCCCCAATCACAGATTTCCCCCTGAAAATTCTTCTACGGGACGCAGTCATTTCACAGATTTACGAAGCGTTGAAAGAAAATTTGGAGAGATCTGACAAACGGCCTTTCCCCAGTACGTGTATTTATTTTGCTTGCCAGTTCACTTGTTCACTTTTTCTGTTTATCCGTTTGACTATCAAGAAATCAGGCGTGTTTTTTGTCCGTGAACGAGAAACCCAGGCATTCTTTCAAACTTGTCAACAGCTTCGTGTGCATAGAAATGTGAACTAGGCGGTATTTTGTGACGAGCCGCGGTTGCAACACATTAGGGGAAATGCAGAGGTGTAGCTTCAACTCGCCTACCAATTATATTTGACAAAAACTTCAGCGAAAGGCACTCAACGCGCGCATCATGCAAGTGAACTTACCACCATGTCACAACAAACTATTCGTTAACAATTGAGAGAAATTGAGATCAGTAACCTCAGGATTCTGTTGGATAGTTTTAGAGGTGCATTCTACATGGTTTTTGGCTAAGGTCGTGTAAATACTGAAATGTGCATGAAGAAATTCAGTTCTAGGCATTCTCGTTAGCATCGGAACGTTTACATTATCTCCCGATTGTTTTACTCGACGCTTTCTGGCCCCTTCAATTAGTTCGTATCAGTAACTGGGAAAGTATCATGACGAAATAGCATCTTGACATAGTGTGATAGCTTGTACACCTTTGCGACCCAGCGAGCTACCTAGAGGATAGCTTTTGTTACGCTGAAGATCGATTTCATTCCTGGAAGGTCTTAAGGTAGAGAGCTCAGACGAATTCTAATTTGCTGATCCTCCAGGTTGCGGGTGCTCTGCTGGAATTGGTGTCTCAGTCGGTCTAATGCGCTAAGCGCCAAGGCTGAGCGCTCGCTTCTTGACTGGATTCCAGTCAGTAACCGACTGTGCGCTGTACGTCTCAACGGTCGAATGTGATGGATGAATAATAGATCCAAGTAAGTAGACCCTCACTTCGCTTCACCCGCTGCTTTGCGGTTAGGTTTTTGTGCGAACTAAAGGCTTTGGTTGAGAACCTTACTCGTTCGCCTGCTTAGTGGCTGGACACCCCAGCAGTACCCGTCCATAATACTTCAATGCACACACAAACCACAAATAATCCCATATCGCATATATATATATATATATATATATATATATAGACGATTCTCGGCTGTATCAATGGATTCGCTCACTGGTGACAAGACTCAATCCGAACCATACGGCCGTCCATTGCTCCTTGGCTTCTCATTTCACCACATGATCAAAGCCAATCGTTCGCTACTGTTATGCAATTTCGAATATCACAACATTCTTGTATTATTTAATTTGTGAAACATTTTGACTGTTAGGTGTTCTTTCGTGAAATCTCTGAGCAAGGCCAATGGTTGTTTGGAGACTTCATTCTGCGCACATTTTCTTTCCTATATCGTTTATCATTCCTATATATTCTCCCTCCCCTCGATCTCTCCATATTTCTTGCACCACCACCACCACCTGATTCAGTCGTCCTGGTTTGTCATCGTGGTAACAAGTCCCGTATCGCAGCCCTCCAACTGGCCAGTGCACTTTGCTCTTTCCATCAACGACATTCCCGACCGGATTTGACCGTGGAACTGTCAAGCGATGCGGCCGGGGACCAGGTGCCAGATTTTGTCGTGTGCGATGTGGCCGGTGGTTTAGCCGCATGGGCTAGTGAGATTGATCCCCATTTCCCGGTCTATTGATTGCTAAATGGATCATTTCTGTTTCCGGAGTGAATCAGTGAATGAGAAAAATGTGTTGTATGCGCCAAGTGTGTCAAGTGACTGTTTTTCACACATACGCTGTACAAAATCATTAAGTGAATTTTTCTTATTGAACTGACAAGTGAACAGTCGATCAGTAAACGGAATTTGAAAAATTTCATGTTAAATTACATTTTGTTCTCATCGATTCTTCATTCAGACTGAGGGAACAGTACTTGTGTGACACTGATGAGCTCCAGTGAGAACGAATCTCAAATTTTGGTGTTTTTTTAGTGTTGGAGTGACTGGTTAGCCTGAGGATTGTGTGTGAAGATGGAGTTTGCAGAATGGCCAGTTCCGATGATGAAATCAATATTTATGTGAAATTGATATCCTTCGAGCACATTCTCTTATTGGGACAGAGTGACTGGGGCGAAAAATAAATTAAAGACAACTGACAATAGCTCACAGTGAATGTCACAACTCATGACTAATCAATCTTGTTTATCTTGAGATCAGATCATGTTGCGGTTCGGATTTTTCGCACACGTGTATTGGATAAATAGCTCAGCACATACACTATTCGCCAATCCACCCCCCCCCCTCTATAGTGATGATTTAGGAGTACTTACCCCCTCGATTTATACTCGCTATCATACCGTTGGGCTTTATTTTGTGGCTTGAGGTCCGATTTCTCCTTGATAGTAGTCTTCTCTCCAGCTGGTCTCACAGACGCGTTTATCATCATCATGGTACAGCATAATACAATGAAGCGAAGTTCATTGATCGCTGCCAGACTTATATTGCATACAAGGTAAGTGAGAATGTACAAGGAGGACAGGGATTGGACCTATTGTTAGGGACGGGGAAAAAAGCCAATCTCTGTGGTCAAGACACAGGGTGCACAGTCCAACTGTGCATATTTCAATTATTCGGGTCTGCTAAGAAATGACATCAAGATGGCCAATGCTGTCGGTTTGCGGCCATGACCTTCAGTGTCCAAAACCATCCAGTTACGGAGTCTTTTGGACCTCAACCCGGAAGACGAAAGATACCTAATCGCTCTGTGCATGCCTCGTCTCCACGTCTTCTGCTGGCCTTCACGTGGCTTTCTCCAACCTGCAGCAGCCACTGCGAATAAGGCGCGCTACGGTAGGCTACCGTCGAACCCATAAGGGATTAACGATTAACTGAATCGGAGACTCCTTTTAGGTCAAGGAACACGAAAGCCGTTGGTCGATTGTGCGTAGGGCGTAGCTCGAGAACTTGATACATAGTGATGATTTGATCGATACAACCGCGGCCTGGTCGAAATCCTGCTTGTTGTTCGCTGATATTTGTCGCCCTGAACGGTGCCAGATATCGAAGTATGACGGAGGCTAGTAACTTGGTGACGATTGGGATCAAACTTATTCCCCGGTGGTTTGCGCAGTCGTTGCGAGATCCCTTCTTAAAAACTGGAGCAATCAGTGATTCGCTCCGTGATGATGGACTGCGCTCGTGTGACCATGTGTTACGCACAAACTCTGCAGTGTAGTCTACGATCTCATTGCCTCTCATCTTGAAAAGAGTGGGAGGAACCCCATCCGGTCCTGCTGCTTTTCGTTTCTCCAGAGCTTGGATGCAAGATCGAAATTCTACTGCAGTAGGAGGTTCAGATGACACTTCCCACGGTACCTCAGCGCATATGATCGGGCCGACCAAGAAAGTCTCTTTTTGCCGTGCGACAAAGCAATGGCACATTGTCATCCTGGAATATCACCTTCCTAACTGTATCCCACAGGGCCATCGGGGTTTGACTTATTGGCAAACTTTTTTATCGACGGCGTCTCTCAGAAATACTGACTCCCATCAACCTTCTCACTAGATCATCCGTTGAGAGGTGTGCTAAACACCCGTGATTGGAACCTGTGTATCCCCGAAAACAGCGTAAAATAGTATGTATGCCTTGGGGTTGGATAACGCGACCCGTTACCGATCAAAGCTGTGGACCAAGACCGATCAAATTTCAGACATATAAACAAGCTAGAGCACAACAACAGTGCGAGGTTGCTCCATTTATGCCCAGGGCAGATTTCGCTCCATCTCAACTGGTATACAATACGGCAGCTGAAGAATACAGTTTATATCGTTGAACAGTTCATGAGGTTACACAGGAATACGATAGGGACGAATCGTCACATTGTTTTACCACTGCCAAGGCAGTGACAGTGTGTGATTGACGGTTCTTTTTGCACAAACACAAGCGAGGTTTCCAGTTCCCGATTGCAACCGACTCCGGAAACTTAAGCAGCCGGGGGATGGTGTTAGCAGAAGTGATTTTAAATCGGTTTGTCAGTTCCGGACCATGATTCGTCATCAACACAGCGAGCGATGGGTGACGCGGGCTGTTTGTGTGTTCGGTGTCCTTGGACGAGGGTGGTGGTTTGTAATGTTGTAATGTTATTGAGTGTGTTAGTGCTGAGTGATGCGTGTGTGTGTGTGTGTGGGTTTGAGGGGTCAAATTGGACAATGTCCTTTGATCGCGTGATTCGGCCATTTCGGTCAATCGGCGTCTAACCCAACATGGGATGTGCTCCTGGATCCGTGTATGCAACTGCCTATCTGTTCTGTCAATGTAAGATGCTCCACATCCACAGTCAAACTGGAAAATGACACGTGATTTGGTGGACAGTGGTTGTGGTCGCGTTGTGGGTTACGTGTGGTTTTGTACAGGACGATCGGTTTGGCAGCATTGCAAGTGCTTTTTGCCGCATTTTGCAGTCGGTCGTGAAAAATCAGGCTGAGTTGCAGTGAAATCTGCCCGGGGCATAAATCATACATCCTGGCTTTGTTGTGCTCTCTTTTCAACTTGATCTCGGGAATAAATGTTTCAATATAAATAGGCGTTGATGAGCTGTACATATCATCCGTACGTGGATTTCGCTCACTCTGGGGTGTCACTGATAATCACCTGTACTCTTGAACCTTACCATACTTATAGAAAAACTAAAAAAATTGGAAATCTTGTGGTATGGTTTCCTTGAGTCCTGCTTGTCAGACAGTGTTCACTTTTGTGAGCATTAAGTGAACTGAGTGTAGCTCAGGAGGTTTGAAGTCCCGACCCGACTGATCGCGGTTCGAGTATTGACAGGGACACAAAAAGTAAGCATTGCTGATGAGTCCCCTAACAGGGCGAAACAGCTATCCAGTGCTCTTTGTCGGTTATCACAAACATTTCCACCGCATTGAAATGCATTCAAATAGTGGGGACTTAACAATCTCCCAAGGAGTGAGACCCACACCGAACATCATCAACAATGCCTAGTGCCTGGGAAAAACCGAATGGGTTAATCTAAACATTGACAAACTAAATTGAGTGAACTCAACTGAACAAACGAACGTGTTCAGTTTGTACAACCATTAACTCACTATGCCTGTTTCATGTTGCGGTTTGAGTGACACCGTCCTGTGGTTATCCATTTTCGCGAAGGAGTTGAGGGAAGATTAGCATATTGATAGAAGTGTCAACTTGGCGACAGAGAATTCAGGTATAATTCACGTTTGCGGGGCAATCCAGTGGATAAACGAGAGCCAGCCGTTGTGCGTTCCCGACACACCACTATACCCCTGATTATCTCTAGCCATCGACTGCATTGTCTAACGTGATCTGGATCGTAACTTGCCAGTAGAATCTCGTATGCATACTCCGGGCCAGATAACTTTCCAAACGGTAGAAAGTACACATCCGTTTAACCCTCATGGCAAATCTCACGATTCCCGCTCGTATAAATAACTATCGACTGTATCATTTTAAAGCACCGTTTGGCTTTGTCAGATTGGTATTTCGAACTGATGACAAGGGTGTATCGAACCATGGTGCTATTCGGAGGGAGGGGGGCTTTTTGGCGGATAGTATAATTTCAGCTATAGAGACCATCGAATTCAGAATACACACTTAGTTCACTGCAATTTGGAAGAGATTGGTTGTAAAATATTCCACTGTTGTATATGTAGTATATTTTGCTAAATCTCTAGCCAATAACTGAAACGCAGCTTCTTATGTAGATATCTCATTTCGTTCCAGATGTCTAGTCATCATTTGGCTGATGCTTGAAGGATAGAAATTCTATTGGTATTCTCAGAGTGGTAACTGGGACGCGAAACTTTTATCCCCGGGCCGCATGGATGTGAATCCCGGATAGCATGAGTTTTTGTAATTGCTCTGGGGAGGAACGAAGGATACGTAATCAATACGGATGCCTACGTGCAAAGCAAACGAACAATACGCTACGGGGGGTTGGGGGGGGGGNGACAATCTCCGTGTTGGATGGTGATTGTCGTGACATCTCAATGAGGTTTTCATGGTACTTTGCTAGGTCTGGTAGTCCTACTAAGGTTGAGTTCTCAAATTAACATTTGGATTTGATAGCAAGTCAACTAACAATAATCACAAAAGTGTTAACTTCTGTGATACTACTCCACCTGACACCCCAAAGGGAGAGGAATATCCACGAACAACAAGCCGGATTCCGACGAGGTCGCGGTTGTATCGACCAAATCTTCACTCTGCCTCAAGTCCTTGAACTGCGTCACACACATCGTCGACCAACAATCGCAGTGTTCCTTGACCTAAAAGGAGCCTTAGATTCAGTTGACCGTGAAGCTCTTTTGGGGTCGCTGCTTCGCAAAGGAATGCCGCAGATATATGTAAACCTATTGCGGTCGTTGTATCTGCATACTTCTGGAAGCGTAAGGGTTTCCGGTGGGTAAAGTAAATCGTTTGAAACCAAGAGCGGTGTTCGTCAAGTGTACCCTATTTCGTAATTCCTGTTCAAATTCTTCGTAGACAAAATACTGGAGAACACACTCAGTGGTTTACAAAACGTAGGCATTGAATGGGCAGCTGGAGAAAAGCTGTGCGAGGTAGAGTACGCTGATGACATGGTATGCCTGTTCGAATGTATGGAGGATGCGCAAAGCGATCTTGACACACTTTCAAGTGCACCTTTAAAGTGCAAAGTGATGCTACGAGACTGGGTTTGGTCTACCCCAGCACTGATACTTGATGGTCAAGAATTAGCTATAGTGGAATGTTTCACCTACTTAGGTAGCTGTGTTACAAATGACGGTATTATAGTCAATAAAGTAACCACCCGCATTTCCAAGGCTCGAGCAGCTTACGCAGGACTGAAACACCTTCGGCGCAGACTCGATTTCTCGTTGAAACTGAAATGTTGTGTATATTGCGCCAGCGTGCGGTTGGTTCTGTTCTATGGGTGCGAGACCCTAAATTTGCGCGGGGAAGATATTTGTCGTCTAGAGGTCTGCGACTGCCGATGTTTACGTAGTTTGGCGCGGGTTGGATGGAACGAGCCTGTGATCATGTCGGAGGTAAGGCGCCGCGTATTTGGTAATAATTCGATGGAGAATTCATTGTACCATCGAA